CAAAGGGATGAAAAATGATTGATTTTTTTTGTATTGATCCCTATAGGTATAATCATTTAGAACCAAAATCTAGTCCTGTTTATTCATTTAGAAACTTAAGCTTTTAGTACAAGACTAAGTTCTAAAGTGAAACTCTTTCAGGGTTTTAAATCACAACCCAGAGGTTTAAAGAGAGAATGAAAGTTTATGTCGTCTATCGGATATCTTTTTTTTTAGTTAATTGCATATATTATATGACATAACCTAAAAATGTAATTAGTAGGCACATAATGGCGCGAAAGCGTCTATATATATCATGATTGCATATTATATATATATTATTGAAATATTTATTTGCTACATTTGATGACACTGACGTATCTGTCTGGCATACTCTCATTCTTTCAAGGTTTTTAAATTAGACATATGACGACGTTTCCGGTATAAATGGCCGCCCTCGGATGTTAATATTTGCGATGTGATCATTAAACAAATAAAATTCTTATTATTATTAGCTTAGAGAACAAAATTTGTCGTCTTTGACTCTGAACTTGGTCACCACCAGAAGTGGATATTCGTGGGCATACTTTATGGTCATAATTGTCCTCGACACAGTTTTTAATAGTCACCATTGTGCTCATTTTATGTATGGTTACTGGTAATTTGCTAACATTTAACGCTAAACTTTTAAGAAAAAAATAACCTTTATTTATAATTTTTGCTTAAAGTATTTTAATTTGGAAAATGCTTTTAGACTTAGATAATAAAAATTTTGCTTGAAACCTAATAGGATTATGAAATAAACATCGTGAAATAACAATTTTTGTTAATTACATGAAGAATAATATTGGTTTTATAAATATAGAGGTTATGAAAGCAATTGAAATATTATCAATGTAATTACAAATATTGTTGTGTAATTATTTAACAAACCTAAAAAAAAAAGAAATAGCCATTGTAATTCTAATAATATTTCTTAAAATATACTACATAAGTTCATTGTTATGCTGGCAACGTTTAAAAATAAAAAAAAAACAAACACATATTCCATATTTAAATGTAAATAAATATACAAGATCCTTGTAGTTATCTGATCATCCATAAATTCATGGGAATTGCAAAAAATGATTCCGCCTGCATTAGAAAAATGCATGAAGTGCATGCATACATGCTATTTTAAACACTCTATTTGGTTTTCAAATGCCAATCACTGATGCGTGAAGGTTGCTTCGCAATGTCATATACAATATGCAAAGGCCACTGTTTATCATTATTTTTTTATCCTGGAATATTCTGGACAAAGGTTAGTAAGGCCTCTGGGAATGGTTGCATAATTAGAAAATACGCAACTGCTTTGGAGTTGTAAGAATCAATTGACATATATTTTTTTATATAAAACCTGCGTTTTATATTAAAAGTAGCTGACCCGCGCAACTTCGCCTGCATTACACTTACTTGACATTTATCATTAGGTATATTTCGCCTAATTTACGTTATATCTTTTTATATTATAGCCTATGTATTATTCTGATGTATAAGCTGTAAAGTTTCATCAAAATCCGTTTAGTAATTCTTGCGTGATAACAAACATCTATCCATCCATACTCACAAACTTTCGAGGTTATAATATTAGTAAGAAGAAAAAAGTTTTATGTTGTCTAAATATTTATTATTTACAATTGACATATTTTGAAATACAATAATACGATTACATTTAGAAATATACAATATAGAGCTCTGGTGTTTATTTTTTTAATTACGTGTAACACGTATTTTGTACATATGTAAATGCAAAGAACTGAAATTTTTAGATGCACCAATAATAGATCTACCTGACGCATTATTTGTTTTTCTTCAACGTCATTGCACTGTGTAGATATTGAGTGATAACAAATCCACATGAAGTTAGAAAAATATACTAAATAAAATTCATTTTAGACTTTGTACTCTTAGTCGGGTACATATTGATACATCAGCCGTGTATTTTGACATGCATTTGCTTGTATTTAAGCTTTCTGGTTGAAGCGAGAAATCTGTTAGTGAAATTTCAGGCCACTGACTCTCATGTTATTATGAATGGAAACAAATAAGGGGTGCTTACGGCGACACATATATTAATATCCGTGGTACAGCTGTACTTTTATGTAATTGTAATAGCAAATAAGCTGACGGACTACCTAATGTTAAGCGATAACCGTCAGCTATATACATGGACATTGCTACGGATATTACATAATCATATTTTATCCGTAATACCACTGATGTACTGCCATTCCAGAGTGTTATGATATCATGCCTCTTGTTCTGTAATTTAAATTGAAATATTTATGCAAATACATTTCAACATCATTATAGTCATAAAAATCGTTAAAGTAATTATAACGATTATTTAAACAACAAATGTGCATGGTAATAGTTGTTCATACACGGGATTTTTATTTAATGTTAGACATAAACACCTATATAAGCTTGCAATGTAAATAAACTGCCTTTTCAAAAGAAAGAAAGAAATTAAGTTCAGTTTCATGTAAGTTCTTCTCAATTGAATCTGTATACTGAACTACCGTCCGGTACGGAAAAAAGCTTAAGAAAAACCATAAGCGGCTAAAATGTCCTACATGAATAAATGATTTTTGATTCGATTTAATATCGCTCTCAATAAAATAAGGATATTAGCCTATTATAGCTAATCTCGGCAAGTAGCGTGATATATTTTTTATTTTAAGTTTTCCTTCCCTTATAAATATATTTGCTATGAATAATTTTAATCTGGGTTAAACCAGATTACTAAATTTATTGAATTCCCGATATTTCGATAGTATTACAACTACCGATATTTATAACCTCGATTGTATTATTATTCTTAATATAAACAATATCCATCTAAAAGCTATGAACAGAGTCAAAATATGTAACAGATTGTTGATACAATATTTTAATATTAATTTATGTAAAAAGCAAATTCGCACTACACATTTAATGTTGGTTTCCGCCAACTTACAATATAGAGTTCCATTCGGTAAATTGCACAGAGTATGTTATGAGAAATTATTATAAGCAAACTACAGACAAATACTACCAAAGACAATAACCATAAATACTAAAGTTATATATAAATAACATTCTTACTTCAACATTCTTACTTGTTTATTACGATAGGTTCGCTGTCTGTCTTCGATTAAGATTTTATATTTATTTCCTCTCAGCCTTCAATATACCCTTGAGGATGATATAACGAAAGTGAAGGAAAGCTTTTAGATCCGTGATTTTATAAAAATCTACTTCGATACTCTGCGAATGCTTCGTTAGTAAATCAACATTTTTTATACAACCGAGAATGGCAGACAATCTGACGGCGCTCTTGATGGAAAACAGTTAACGTCGCCTTCAGAAGTGACGTGAACAAGATCATGGATATTGTAAATATATTATTACTCACTGTATTTGTATGTTTAATGTCTTCACTTCCATAATGTAATGTTATTTTGTAATTGTATTCACACAAAACTTAAAGAATTCTATATATTTTATTAAAAAATAACGGAGTTTCATGTATCTTGTTTAAATTTAGAATTAGACTGAAATTTGCACTGTGAACATGACAGTAGAATAAAAACTAAATTAATCTAAAACATATCAAAAATGCAATTACTTGAATGAGAATTATTTTCATTTTACTTTATATTTTTAGCTATAATTAATATAAAGGTAGTTGAAAACACAAAAGTTTAATCATTTTAACATCCCAATATCGTAACGCTATTTGGTTCCTGAAAGGTTTATAAGAGGTAGATTTAGTATATAATGATGACCAATCCAAGTGTCTTGACCCTAGGGTTTATTTCATATTTTCTTCTCTTGCACAAATATACTGGTTATTTGAATGCTTTGCTTCAATAATCTCTATGAGTGGTGACAGATTCTATTCTTACTCCACCAGACTGATATTAAATTAAATACAATGCATATTAATTATTAATGTGGAATCATCTGCCCACGAGGTCACGCATGTCAAATTGTGTTGCTTTTGCGTCATTTCTCATCGGAAGTAAATTTTGTGTAAACAAACATTTACCTTATTTGAACAGGTTCCTTCATCTGATGCGTAGTATTGTAGGTCGCAGGTTTATTCCGTAGAACATAAACGTGTCCAACCCTCTAATTGCCTGGACCTGAAAGCCACGTTCGCTATACAGGTTAATTAAAGTGCAAAGAAAAGGGGGTTACACATGTTCATGCTTGTTGGAAATGTACTGGTTATATTATAAAGTTAATGTGTTCTAGTATCGTGTGGACTTAGGAAAACCTGAATCAGATCAATGCTAGTATTATGTGTATGCGTCAAGCAATTAGCGCTAGATCACGTCTATGCAATGATAATTCAATTAAGTATAATAGAAAATTACAGATGATTCTGCCGGAACCAAACTTTGTACATCCGTAATAATTCCTGTTATGATTATATTGGTAGTCTTTGTAAACATCGGCTTGGATATATTTAACAGTGTTATCTCATCTGTCTTACCTGCTTCTGCTATCAAGCAGCTTTTAAAACAAACTCTGTTCAGGTTATAGTAAAAATATTGATCGACATACAATATGTGCAGTCATGGCAGATATTCTAATTTAAAATTTAAAACTAGATCGAATCAAGCTATATCTTGGGAATATTTGATCTATTAGGTCACTATGTATATTTCCATTGTGAATGTTTTTAGGATGTGGTGCAGAAAATGTTAGTAAATATAACGCCACTTGACCAAGATTGATTTTACACATCTTACATCTGTCAAACAACGAATATTAATCATTGACTAATCGGGGTTAACCTCAAAAACAAACTCAAAATACGGCTCTAACAATAAAAGTGCATAAAAACAAGTTTATTTATAGAACCTTGCGGTACTGCGTTTGTTTGGAATGTTCAAGTACACTGACGACATGTCAATACGCCCCGCCCATAGTAAACATATTTATATGTCTCGTACACCTCGCTTATGTCGATTTTCTTTTTGTTTCAGGTTCGTTATTAACCTCCTGGCGACGAATTTGCTGACAACATCCCTGCTAGCGCCCGCACTGTTTGGCGAGCACACTGCAAGGGAGAACGCAACTTCGTGGATGGAGGCAAGCGATGCCGCAGCAGCAGCCTGTAGTTTGGCTGCTTTACTAGCTGTCATGTTAATTGCGTTGGATCAACACCACGCAGTAACAGACCCTCTTCGCTGTCATACGCGCCTGCTTCAGCGGCGCCCGGCTGCCCTCTGTGCAGCCACATGGCTGGCTGCGGCTAGCGCTGCTACTTTCCGGGCAGCCATTGCTGCTGTCCGGCACTTTTACCCGCTCGAGCCTGTAGTACAAGGAGTCGAGCTGGCCTACTACGTCGTGTACTTAATTCTTGGAGTTATTACCCCAGCGGCCATAGTTTGCGTTATGTATGCCAGAATTTACCGTGCAGCACGCTCTTCTGGCCTCCGCGCAAGAGCACATGGAGCGAGCGCATTGCAACTTCATGAGCCACCAACAAATTTACCCGACCTGATTGAAGAAGGTGATGGACTCACACTCAGAATAGATGTACCAGATGGATCTGATAATCCTAATGCTACAGATAGTGATCGGAAGTTTGGTCCGTTCTTACTTCCACCTGAGCGTCCTCTACGATGTCCATCTGTCGCCAGTCTCCGTAATTCGCGAAAAGACGGCAAGTCGAATGAGGATTTGAGAAAAGGACTACCTGCTGTCAGCTCAGCTCCATCTCTGGCTGCTCCTCTACTAGCCGTACAGGCTCGTACGCCACAAGCGTCCAATAGTACATCAAGAATAACATCAATCCGATGTCGGATTTCAAATGCGTCGTTGTTCCGATACCGAGAAGAATCTCGTGCCGCTCGTGTTGGAATATTAACTGGATTGTTAGTGATGCTGCACGTGCCACATGCAGTGAGTGCGGTTATTTCGGCTGCAGTGCCGGGACTTGCTGATAGTGCGCGCACGCCTGCTCTTGCGTTACTACTTCTGTCGGCTGCAGTCTCTCCGTTCCTATTTGCTCTGCGCTCACGACGAGTGCAGCGGGAGGCTCGTCGGCTTTTGCTTCCTGAGAAAAGTCCCTGGGAACGGGGGTCGGGCGCCGCATCAGCCGCGGCAGTCGACGGGCAGCGCGCCCGAGCCGCTCTAGAACTTTTGCGTACATTATCGCCGGGTAGCGGTGGGGGTGAAGTGCCTACGTCGGGAAACGGCCAGGAGGCGGCCACCTGCCGAGGCTCGTTCAGCTCGGGTGGTAGCACACAGCTGTCGTCAGCGTCGGACGAGTGACCGCCGCCCCCTCCCCGCGTGCTGAGCCACGCACCCCGGGTGCACTTTGCCCCGCGCCCCACCGCAATACTCATCTGTGATACTAGGTTAAGCCGCTCCGCGCTCAGCGCGACCGTTAGACTGATTTAGTATTAAGTTAATTTATTATTGTGTCCATGTACCTTTCCGCTGAGCGGATAACTTTTTATTACCTGAATATGAATGTATAAAAGCATTAAAAATCTTATCGACTTAAATTTTATTTTTATTTTATATCTACCAATGACCTACTGACCTGATTAGAAATATATATGTTGGTGTAAACCGCAACATTACAGAACCAGAACATTAATATACCAGAAGTATTGAAGGTTGAGACAAAATGGAGTAATAAGCATTTTATAAAAACGCAGATTACGAAAAGCACGTTTTGTAATTCTGCAAACACATTTACTTGATAACTCATTTAAAAAGGCAAGCAAATCATTAGGGCAAAGTAAAGTAAATACATACTAATATTATAAAGATGACAGTGTGTCTGTTTGTCTTTTGTTTTTGTTACATTTAAACCAGTAAATAACAAAACGAATCTTAAAGAAATTGGAACGTGAAGTTAGATTATATGGACTATAATATATTTATAAAAAGAGGACCGTAGCAACTAGTATAAGTAAATAGGATAATAAATTATATTGGATATAAAACTTAGACCTGTCTTCTATGTAAGTATCAATATGCAGACAGTATTACTTCGCTGGATCGCTAAATTGAAATTGCTCATTCGCTATAACATTAGAGTACTCTAATGCCTAACTTCTCGATACTTCAGTTATCTAGGACAGGACTCTATCAAACATAAACTCTACTATACTATACTTATTCTGAATTATATGTGTACAAAACAAATTATAAATAATATAAGAAATAACAGATTTATAAGATAAAATTATAGTAGTGTCACATGGTCCTGCTGTTCATGTATATAACAAATTTTATAAATTATAAATCTTCCAACAGTACAAATAACAGATTACAGAGAGATTATTAAAAATTAATAAAAATTACAGTTATGAGAGAGAACCCATAACAAATTAGTTCTTTGCAACGGCAACGCATAAGTGATATTAGTAGTGTCACATGATAACGTGATTTCCGTAGTGCTGTTCATGTATATAGGCGATAATTACCGTTTACCATCAGGTTTTCCGTAAGCTAGTTCGCCATTCTGATTAGATAAAAAAACAAATGTCTGAGATAGGCACCATCGATCAGCAACTCCATGTATTCTCATTTTATCTTCCAACAGTACAAAGCAAATCCACAAAACAATACATATTAAATTACAATTATATGAGAGAGATTATTAAAAATTTACATCAACAACCCTCACTTTTGAAGCTGTTTCTAAATAAAAATATAATATAGACTGACGTAGCCTATTATTTTTTTATAGTCCTAAAGAAACTAGGAAACATGCCAGCTACCTTGATGAAAATTTGCCAGCAGTGTTGATTATAGTGGACATTTCCCAAACTAGCCTCATTACACGTGTATCCACGGTTGTTCCTGCCAATATATGCAGGAATATTTCAGAAGATCTGCAGATGGTATGCGTTAGTAAGAGTCCTGATGATCTTATATTAAGATCTCTTTATTTTAAGTCACTGCAATATGTGTTATTACACATCTCTTAATTGGAATCTATACGACTATTGTAAAAAGACAACGGATTGTATTATGAGGGGAATAGAGTCCAGACCCACTGAACCGATTTAAAATATTAAATAAAGGCTCCTTCCACGTCTGTTTGTATGTTTGTAATACTTTTACTTACTTTTTACTAATTTTTCAGTTGACAACAAGCCAAATTAGTTTTTAATTTTTGTGGCTAAACAGCAGATAATTAAAAAATTAAGAGGACCTGTTTTGTGCAGATTTTTATTCTCTAAACTTTACGAAAAAAAACGTTTTACAATTTTTTTTTATTATTTCTTTCCTTTCTTGTCAACTTAAGTCAAAATTTCTTTTTAATATAATTATTCATGTCTTTGCGGACTTATTTTTATATATTGCGCCAAAACTAGTCACATCTTGTTTAATTTTAAATTTTATTGGACTATAAGGAAAACACGAAACAATAGCCTATAGCTACCAAAACCACTTGAACATTGTTAATAGTAGGCTAATATCCTCTTCTTATAGGGAGATTCCCTTCCCCAGTATTGTAGATTATTACAATGATACGGTAACTAACACTTTAGTACTTTCTCTAAGTGGCATTACTGACAATTCTAGTCGTTTTTAAACATTATCACAATAATATTATTGTGACATGGTACAACACTGTTTAATGTTTTTTTAATGGATAATAATGAAACAGTGTACCCGCATACACTAATAATATACGCTAGCGTAGTGCCAAGGTAGGACAAGATGAACATGAAGTCAGATCAGTTAGTCCATCGTGACAAATTCCCTAAGTAACCACGATCTTTTCCAGGGGGGCTGCGTGGAGGTCGATCTGCCATGGTAGATTAGACTAGCATAAGGGTCACTAGTTTCCATTTTTTTACAGTCCAGACTTTGCACGGGTTAAATTATTATTATTACGGGTTATATATTAAAGGGAAATTTTTTATAGAACATGAATTATGAATGAATTATGAATGAAGAATGAAGAATAATTAATGATGAATGATATGAATGAATGATGAATGAATGATGAATGATGGATGAATGATGAATGAAGAATGAATGATGAATGAATGATGAAGGAAGGTAGAATGATGAATGAGAATAAAAATGAAGAATTAATATTGATATTGATGATGATGATGATTAAAGGTTACTGGTTCCTATTTTAATATTAGTAGTAACTAGCAATCGAAAGTAATAATTTAGATCTCATCTCTTTTGTCGTAGAAGTCAACAATCAAGGCATATATCATAATAAAAGATATCTTAATGTAATTTTTGATGAATCAGATGTAGTGATCAATTAGTTTGATATACTATTATCACAGATAAGATAATAATGAACCTTAGAATCAAACTTATATATGTGACTTATTTTTATATATGGAAAGTACATGGACTATAAAAAAGTATTACTACCAAAAACTTGAACTTTAATAATTTATTTCATAATTTTCAACACTTTAGAGAACGCTGTGTTCTGACATGGTACAACACTGTTTAATGTTTTTTTAATGAATAATAATGAAACAGTGTAGCATACACTAATAATATACAGCGTTCTCTATGAACATGAAAAAAGTCCATGACAAATTCCCTAAGTAACCACGATCTTTTCTTTCTGTTTTAGATTCTCTTCATTTTTTCTCTTTGCACAATTATTTTCAATGAAAATTTTTTAGAATAAGAACTGTGTTAATAATTTTGTTATTTTACGATTGTCTTTTGTTTTTTCTCTTCATTCATTCTCTTCACAATTATTTCAATGAAACTATAAGAATAATAATTTATTGTTATTCATTATTTTCTACTATTACATACATACAATATGTACATATAAGGTCTTATGGTTATAAGTACAACTAGACCAAAAGCCAGTAAGTACACTAACCTAATTCAAATTATGGTTAAGTGGACTGATACACGAGTGCACTTAGCTATTAGCTTAAAATTCCATTTGTCGCTCTCAAATTTGTATTTAACGATGTAAACAGTTTGTCAAATTATCATACAGCTCATTAATATGTATACTTAATATCTACTCAATTTTTTCTATTTTTTTTTATAAATGATAATGGTGTCGTGCGCCAAAGGAGAATGACAAACTGATTTCATGCTCATCCTAAACATGAAATCAGTTTGTCCAATGTAACAAATTCACCGGGTATTTCCTGGTGAATTTGTTACTGTTATTAGAGTGACTGTAGAGAGATCGTCCAGAATGATATTACTAGCAATGGCCCTAACAATTAGTTACCATTACTAGGAACCCTCACAATAAGTAATATTTGTTATATATTTTTTTAATTTATCCATAAGATAGTTTGAGAATTCGTTCATTATTTTCATCAGTGAGGAAAACATTATCAATGGATTTAGTCGTCTAGTTATGCTACTTTTATTTTAGAATTATTATTTAATTTAAATAAAAATAATTTCTACGCGAACGAAGTTGTAGATAAGAAGTACCTAATAGAAAATATAACCTTAAAAGCATAAAATAAGAGAGAGGGGTTCGATAGAGAATCAAATCTTAAAAGAAACGAAGTGACGAAAGAACGAAGTGTTTTGTTTTTAATTATTAAAATATAACACTTTAAAAAATGAGGAAAACATTTCTTGTAATTCGCACCCTGTGACATTGACCCTGGCACACCTTTGCCATGATATTACTCTTGAATTATTTCAGCCCAGGGTTCGCTCTTGGCTAGAACTACAATCAAAATGCACGAGCGTGAATGAATGAAGCCATAGTATGATATGATAAATTGGCTAGTCACTGTCAATTAATACATGACTTGCTTATATGTTGGGTTCTATATTCTAGTCACGTTGACAAAAACTAGGTTTATGTGTCTGGTTATAATATGTTTTGGTACTGAAACCAGTCGTCAGTAGGTAAGTTTCCTTATTCTATATAGCTTAGTAGCAGTTTTTCGCGATTTCGTTTGCTTTTATGATAAAATATAATTATGTCTATCATTGTGATACCATTATCTCCATATCAAATTTCATTAAGATTCGGTTTAAGAGTGAAAAAACAATAATAATAAATTTCTTTCGTCATCACATATATCATCCTCATATACGAGTAACTTTTAAACTGGTCCACGCTTGGCTAAGCGTTTGAACGTATTACCCCGTAGAAAGGGAGATATATAAAATATATATAAATAGTATTAATAATAATAATTTATAATAAATAATACTTATTCTACGAGTCTACAAGAAACTTCCACCGGAAATAAATTGAATGATTAAATAATTAATATTTAATTGACAAATTAATATAAAACTCACAAATCAATAGTTATATAAAGGTTATAAGTTAATTATTTCTATCATTAATTACTGACAATAGAAAGTTTTGTATATGTATTATTTATATTTATATATATATAAGTTGTTATTTTTATTAATATTATGTATAACATACAATGTATTAATTTTATACAATTATATATATAACAATAATATCTTTACATAGTATAAAATAAATAGCTTCCGCTGTCTGTTTGCTTAGAATGATTTAACTATGCAACGGATTTTAG